AAAGGCGCCCTATGGGTCGCCTTTTCCCAGCGGCTATTCGATACTGGTCCTCTGATCTTTTTCAACTTTTAGTCCATGAAAAATATTTTTGTAAAACCCTACCCTTTGAGGTCGTTCATCACTTTATTTTGCGGTCTATTAGAAATTTCCAGCCCTATATATATATATACATATATATATATATATATATATATAGAGAGAGAGATAATATATTGCAATATATATATATAGATATCGATATATAGATGCATAGAGAGAGAGATAGAGAGATAGAAGGGAGAGGAGAGAGAGAGAGAGATGAGAGAGAGAGAGAGAGAGAGAGAGAGAGAGAGGAGGGAGAGTCGGAGAGAGAGAGAGAGAGAGAGAGAGAGAGGAGAGAGAAGAGAGAGAGAAGGAGCTCTAGGCGAGAGAGATAGAGAGAGAGAAGGAGCGAGAGAGAGAGAGAGAGGAGAGAGATATAGAGGCTGAGGGAGAAAGAGAGAGTTTGGAGATATGTGCTTTATTCATATTATTTGCATACTATTATATATTATTATTATATTTCTTCTGCCTATGGAGATCGGAACGATCTTGCCGTTAACTACTTAAAATTTGGCGGTGTTAAACTGCTTTGATATCTTCCTTTAGGAAAACTCTCAGGGGCTTAATTTCATTCCCACCGCCTCCCAACGCATTGAACAGTTTCCGATCGTATTACTATAAAGCACGCTCCACCGTCAACACAATGCATTGTCACAGCAGCCTTCCCACAGGTTATCATCCTATTTGCTCCTGTCATTTCCTCATCTTTTCCCATCTGGCATTTTCAGACTTGTCACATGGCCCGATGCAGAGCTAGGACATCAAACCGAGTAGCGTATGACCAAGGAAGACTCATGAAAGCTCTTCAAGCTATCTGTAGTGGTTCTTCGCCGCATAAGGTCTCTGAGATGTACAAGATATCGATAACAATGTTGCGTCGTCACCGAGACAGAAAGGTACACATGCAAGGATGTCTCGGATGATCTTCAGATATTCCTAAAGAAACGGAAAAGCAACTGATCCAAAATATCAAAGAAATGGAGAGGCTTCTTCATGGATTCACACATGTGGACGCATAGCATGCGAGATTGCTGGAAAGATGAATCTCAAAATTCAATTCAACAAGAAAGCATGGATGGCTGGGAAAAGCCGGTGCCAGGGATTGCTGCGTCATCACCCACAGCTGACAGTTGGAGGCGACCAGCCTAGCCCTAGCCGTCGGGTTGAACAGGCCCCCAGGTGCAAAGGTACTTTGGAGTATACGTGTCAGTGCTGAACGGCGGCGAATACGGTCGACTCCCCATTTGGAATGTGGTTGAGATTGGTGTGACTACCATACAGACGCCGATCAAGATAGTAGATTCAAAGATGTGAAAAGAGTGGGCAAAATGATCAGCGGAGACGCGGCAAAACGGTCACTGCTCTGTGTGCATAGTGGCGTTGCTGGCGTGTACTTACCTCCCATCTTCGTCTTTGGTAAGATGAAGATGATCCCAAGCCTGATGAACGGGCGCACAGTCAGGCTCAGTGGGAGCCTGCACGAAGTCCGGCGGAAGCGATCAGGAGGTTTCCTGACAGTTCGTTTCGCTGCTCCATGGCTGGGGTGAGGCCATCAGCGAAGGGCAAACACGTCATCATCATCAATGACCATCATGGCCGCAAGTCGCTCCAAGTTATCGGATTGGCTCGGAAAAACGACGTGACAAGATTCCCGCCGCACTCAACTCATCGTATGCAACAGCCGGATGTAGCGGTATTCAAGTCGCTGTAGAGAGCCCCAATAATGCGGTGAATAGCTCGATGCGTGTCAATTCCGCAAGGCGTGTGACGGAACATGAAGTGGCCCAGATCTCCTGCGCCGCTTGCTGCGAGGAACCAAGTCATCAACGGCTCCAAAGCTTCCGCGACATGTTCCGGTAAAACAAGAGTCTTCAATAAAGGTGACTGCGCCATCGCAGCTGACCGAGGAGGAGGGGGATGCTCCTGGGCCCAGCACCGACGTTCAGACCTGGAACCAATCTTTTTAGGAGCTGAAGCTGGCTGAGACGTAGCCTGCGGACGACGGAGCTTGCGTAAATGCCGGTGACAAAGCCACAGAAGACAGCCCTGTAGCGGACAGTTCTGCGTGTCTCTCGAGCGTCACAGCAATCATCCTTGCCTGGGGCTCGGTGGAATCGACTCACAAGTCTGCGGATATCATTGAGCAGCCAGCAGCTGCAGCCTTCCTGGAAAGCTCGGGGCCACTCTAAAGATAGAGGTTCTAAAGGAGATAGGGCCACTGAGAAGATAGAAAGGTGCCGTCGTGCGGAACAGGCCACTGTCCGTACCTAATCTCCAACCATGAAAATTATGGAAGTAAGAGCGGCGAGCAAACAGGCCAGCTAAACACAGAAGGCATGGCTAAATAAGGAGGACCCTCAAAACAAGGAGCAAGACGGAAAAGTATTCCAGCAAGATCAAGACGACACTACGCACTGCATAATCTGTGACATGTGATACACGTTATCGCGCAAGAAGTGGGTACAGTGTTGTGTGTGAGAAGCTGGGCCTGTGTACCCTGCACAGAGCATGCTACTGCGTGCACGTGCGCTCCGTGTCGCAAACAGCTGAAGCGAGACAAATGAGGGACACAGTAGGCAAGAGCTGTTTTAGGACATTGTAAGGTCGCTGGCCTATGACATGTCAACGTCAGGCCATGGTTGTCAGCGAGGGGAACTTCCATGGAAGCGTCCAAGGTGATGTAACGACGGAGTGTTAGGCGAAGCGATACATATCTGAGATAGTTTCTTTGCCAGTATACCAATTAAGTTCATAATTACAGCCAATCCCTTCGACCTAGGCTCAGGTATGATCTATCACTATTCACGATTGGTATCACTATTGGAGTATCACTGTTGGCTTACATTAGGGAATGTTAAACTTAAATACCGTCAATATGAACATTATCTAGCTCTGCTACGTCGTTTTACAGGAAGTGCTTCACATTGGTATGGGCTTTGAAAGAAAACAACCATCTCGAAAATCATATAGTACAGTTCACCTCCCTGCACTTCTTAAGACCTAAATTCCTCTAGTTCTGAGCTTCGCTCCCGCGAATAAATGTAGCCTTTTACGGGCAGAGTATTTCAAGGTCACCTAAGCATCCATGACGCTTTAATAACGCGATTCAAATGATGCATTTCATTAGCCATGCAACGACCAAGGCCAAGCCAAATATAATTGCCGAGTTGTTCATATCTGGCGTGCGTAAGCTTATTCCATCGTATCTTATGCTTGCTTCAACATATTGAAACGTTGAACATTCTCTTTAACCAGTGCCCCTTCTTATATTGGAGGTCTTAACAAAAGAAACCTCAACTCATAATCCATTTTTTGTGTAATTCAAACCTGGTGTTGCTGAGCGAGAGCATTTTGCACCCATAAGTTCACACATTTTGACTGAATGACTCATGGAGTTACTACCCACACTAAGCAGTACTTATCGCGTGAGCCCTGGTCCCGTCGTCCGATTGTGAGACCCCCAGTGAACGGCAAGAGTTTGCAGTGAAAGCATGACGTGCCACAACGTTCGGAGCGGTCCGTCCGATCTCTGGCGTTACCTGAGCTTAAACAAGACCGCTGCCATCGGCCGCAGGCGATCGTGAAATCAGAATAAGGTAACTCTCAGCCCCATCCCGCAGCGGGCGGGTAAATTGGAAGGCAGGTGGTCTAACTAACTGAGGCGTCCGAACGGGCTGCCGTTCACTGAATATCAACTAACAATGAGGCGCCAATGGACTTGCAAGACCAGCCGAATCAGTCAATAACTACTTTAGCTTGAGTCTGGCAAGGCTAGGAGAGAGGCCATTCGCGGCCATCGCCGGTCGGCCGCTCCGACAAGCGAGCGGTCGCGCGCCGCGGCAGAACTGCCGTCGAATGGAGTCGCGCGTTCGCGGAACAATGCCCTCTCCGCTGCTATTCTCAGGCAAAGGCTCTTCACGAGCGGACCGCTCGCTCCGTTCGACCTTAGACTGCAGACCACGCCACGCAATTAGCCTTTCGTCGGAAGCTGGCGCCGCCGTTCGCGGAAGGACACCAGGGGAGCAGACACGGGGCCAGGGCCGGGAACATTCCACACGATGATGATTTCATTCGTGCACGCGAGCATCTGCAAGACTTCATTGTTTATCCGAATGATCTGTATCAGGAAGTGAGCGCCGACGATATGCTCATTTTATTTTAAATTTCCATTGCCGTTGAGCAGGGTGTAAGGTGACCTCACTTGGACCCAAATCCCGTCTGTTGGGTCTCATCTGTTGATCATCTGTCCTCACTTAAAAGTGTTGGTGTTTGATATTGAGCCTTGTCATGGGCGGTCGACTGTCAACCTTTGACTGCTGGCCTCGTTCAACCTTCATGTGGTTCATGTCCATCTGTGTTCTGGATTCCGCGCTCAAGAGATCATCACGCTGGAGTTATCCGTTGAAAATCTAGTGGTTTGAGCGCTACCGGGAGCAAATACACGACAGGATCTATTCGCCTTCTGATGCTATTCTCAGCAAATGATTTGAGGCGAGCAGACCGCTCGCTCAGTTCGACGTCACTGTGCCATGCCACGCCACGCCATGTATCATGTTAGAAAGTGATAAATGAGTGTTGCGATTGCCGCGGTAAACATCCGGCCGCCACCGCAGGAGGGCTTGCCGTTGATACGGGCCTTCAAAACTCGTACGCAGCAGTTTTTCGCATGTATTTGCTTTCGGCTGTTGCAAAATTTCGTGTCTTAGGAGCCTGGAGGCCAGCAGAGTCCTGGAGGAGCCCGCTCACATTGAAAATGTTTTGACTACTCAGGTAGACTTCGCTCGACTGGAAAACTTGGGCTTTAGTACTTTATGACGTAACTTTCTGGGCGTGGCACCGAACCAGTCCTTTGAATAGAAATTAATCAAACCTCAGCTACAAATATAGCGCAACTATCTCCATCCTGGCGCACTGGCCTTAGCTCCAATTTTCGATAGGGTTTTAGTATTCGGGGTTTTCGTAATTAAGGAGGAGCGGAAGGCTGCAAATATTTTCGTCGAGACCGCAATTCGGTGCCTTTGCCACAGTGAGCCGGCAAACGATCTAATTGATTTGACGTGCATTGCTTTTGTACCCTTTTCCGGTCTGTGTTTACTCCAGTCTGCTGTCTCCAGCTGCTTATTTATCAGTATCAGCCATGGCTGCAGAGCCCACAATATTGGAAGATGTTCAGGGAGATGGGAGATGGATGAGCATGGTAAGTTTATCATTCAGGGTTTACAGCTGAAAAGTCCATCTTAAGCATCTCATAGAATCTTCACTGCCCTCAGCCATATTGATGATGTGTACAAGTATGACTATCTACATGCTGTGCTATAAATTGTGGAATATAGGTCAGTGGTGAGTATTATATGCCTGGTTATGTAGAAGTTAGATGTAGTAGGCTGATACCATGTGGTAAATTTGCTTAAGGCCTAGAACATGCTTCTACTTTGTTAATTGGTGTCTGGCTTTGGCTCCATTTGGTAATAAATGCTCCATAAACCATTAGGGCTAGTCAGAGTTTGTGGAGCAGCACTCTTGTGATAATGTTAGTTTCAGGTCAAAACAGATAAGGTATGCTGTAAACTTAAGTACAGCTTACTTTAAGTGTTTACATGGATACAACAAACTTTTTACTTACCATGTCAGACCCTGCATTATGATTAGTCCCTCATTGTCTGTGGAGAGCTGCTGGAAAAGCCATATCACCTCTGGATCACTTGCTCATGAGGCACACATCTGATTAGAGCAGGACTCAATTTTGGATTTGTGTGGCAACGTGCAATATCTCGGTATAAACAAGCCTGTGAAGGCATCACCTGCCCATATAAGCATGCAACATGTAAGTGAAATTAATCTTCTTTTATGTGATGTTTGTGGTCATGGCTCTTTTTATGGATTGTGCTCTGAATAAATGGCTTATCTCTTGTATGAGCAACTTGTACTGTCAATTAAGAAGTTAAAACAGATCCCTCCCTGAATAATTTTTGGTTGTAGTGTCTGTGTTACATGAGTCTGCATGTTCAAGGTGTGCATTATGCTATGCTATTTATAAGTAAATTGCTAACTTACAGGCTTGAAATGTTTCATGGTTTTATGGAATGTTTTTGCTCAATCACATGCAATTCTATTGTTAGTGTATACAATTTTGATGTTTGCTGTCTTACCCCATTGCCCAGCCAATAATTTGATGTGTTTTGTATAACAGTCTTCAAGAATAAAAATAGGTGTATATTCTATGGATTTCATAGTTGTGCTACTCGTGACAAACATGTGTCTATCAATTTTAATTTGTGTGCCAAATTTTAACACTGCTGTTTACCATGCTGGCATACTGATCATTACATCATTTGGTGGCATTTCTGGCTTCATCAAAGTACTTCCCACTCTCTGCATCTTTCATTTCATTTGGCCATTTGACAACTATTGCAAGATCAAAATGTTGTCAGTGGGTTTGAATCTCACAGTATGACTGTGACATTTTGGTTTAAAGATTACTAAAGGTTACTAATAATGTCAGATCAGGTCAGGCTAGACGTCAAACTATCCAATTGCCTGCTATTTGTACATAAAAACCATTAAATGGATCAAATAGGTTAGCATGTACCTGCTGATCAACACCCAGGCTGATGTTTGAATTAACTGACTTTGTGTCATCATAGCCTTTGTATATAATGATTACTTTATTAATTATTAATCCATTATTATATGGCTAATGCCTTAGGGCAAACCATGTACCAACAGTTTTTTTCAGGTTTGTTTGCACATTTGTTTAATGCTAAGGTCTATGGCATGGCTTGATGCATTTTTGTTGCATCATTGAAGAGGGATTGCATCTGATGGATCATTGATATCTGCAGCCATATAATGGTGATGAAACTAGTGGCAAGATTATCAGCATGGTATTCATAAATGCATTTATTAAATAAGAAGCATTAATGAAAGCATTGCTGCAAGAAATTGATGAAGTAATGCTGGAATATGCCAGGTGACCAGCTGGCAGGAGCATCTGTTGGAGATATTCAGACTCCGTTTTAATGCAGCACCTGATACCCTTTGTAAAGCATATTTTTGTGTTTCACTAGGACTTTTCTGCTTATATGCATGCAACTACTCTGTTTATTTTGCACACACTATATATGTGGCAGAGCTTTCATATTTTGGCACCCTTGCAGGACAGTCATGACCAAATGTCTGCTTTCAAGCCCCCAGGTGGCTCTTGTGCTATGGAAAGACTGTCCTGATGCTCATGCCTGGTGAATCAGAGGACTGCAATGGTGGCATGAGTTAAGCAGTGTCCTTATGAGATGCCACCAGACCAAAGGTCCATTTATTGGCAGACCATACCTTTGAAGCCTCCCATCTGGCACTATCTGATACAGTGTTCATCCCTTAGCAGTGTGATGATTCCCCAGTTGCTGCCATCTCTTTGGCTGATGAGGCTGGTCAAGGAAAATTCGACCGAAGTCGGGCTTGAACCATAGACCTTCCACATACATTGGCATGCACTTTAACGAACTGCACCACTGGGGTGGCTTTAACACTTGGTTGGTTGCCAGAGATTTACTGAGTAAGGGCTCCATTAATGATGGATTTTAGCCATCTGCTAGGCCATATGTATTCCTTATGTCATGGTGGGCTGTTGCGATGACACAGCAATGGGTGATATGGGATGTTACATGTGTGGTTTGTAACAGACTGCAGTGTGAAATATTCGTGGCTTTTCTAGTCCTCATTTCTTTAAAGGGAGTGTTCCAAATTTTTATGGGGTTTTGAACTGAAATAGTCATCCTGAAGACCTTTTGGTGCTATTGATAATCTTGCCCTTCCTAAGACCTAAGCCCCTCTAGTTCCTGAGCTATACGCCGCGAAAATTGGGAAAGGTATATTGGAGACAGTATTTCAAAGGTCCCTTGGTATTCATAACATCATAATAATGTCATTTAAATCTTGCCATTTCATAAGCCGTGCGGTGATCAAGGCCAACAAATAGAAATGTCGAGGCGTGTTTTTCTGTACTAGAATATCGCCAGAAGTTGAGAACGTGTGTTTACTTTGTTGTAATATAAATCGCGATGACCTGAGACGCTAGGTCGGATCGGGTTGGCAGGGAGGCGTCCACATGCTCCAGATCAAACTTCAGTTTTCAGTAATGCTGATATAATGTAATGTCACATCGAGTGTGCAACACAAGACAAGACTGATATAAGATGACCTGACCTGTTGGGTCACGGATGCCCAATCACGAGGTCGTGGTGACCTGACTTGAACCCTGTGAACTCCATACAGTTTATTTTAGCCTTTTGCCATGAAGCACTCCCACTCGTGACATGTCAAATGCTGTCAGGTAAACCTACAAGTTGTGTGCCGTTTACAGCTCCGCTGTCCCAATTCTGACGCTAGTTTCGTGACCTGAGCAGTCACCTTCGAACGCAACTATTTGGAGGCAGTGGAATTTGACTGGCAATTATTCATTCCATCAACCTTCTTGTGGTGAAATTGACATTACCATGATGCAGAAATTTTATTTCCACCTCTTTCTTTCCACCTTCTTTCCACCTGATTCCCACCTGTCACATGCTTAAGCGCCGCACGAGCAAATATTTGATGTTCCATCAAACCTGGATAAGGATATTGAGAGTGATAAGAGCAGCCAAGATAGTAATTATGATGATGATCATCATCAGTAGCAGGAGCAGCAGCATCATGATTACCGTGGCCTTGTCGCCAACGATGTGCCGCCCTCCACAGCACCGGCGCTTCGTGAGCGAGGCGAAGGAGCGCGAGCCGGACGTGGTGCTGGTCGGCGACTCCATCATCTACCACCTGCAGCACTCAAACACGTGGCAGCGCCGCTTCGCGCCGCTGCACGCGCTTAACTTCGGCATCGGCGGCGACCAGACGCAGCACGTGCTCTGGCGCCTCACGCACGGCGAGATGGACAACTTCTGCCCCAAGGTACAGCTAGCGGCGAGGCGGGCACGCTCCTGCGCGCTGAGAGCGGATGGCGCGTTCTAGCGCGATGTTACGATGCGTGATGAGTGTCTTCTGCAGCAGGGAATTAAAAACAGGTGTCAGACCTGGTTAGAGGGCTTGGACAACTTTTTAAGTGGCAACGCGGTTAGGTTAAAAATCCGAGTTTATTTTAGCTTGAGAATATCCTAGTAGACTTCGAAAACGAGCGCTCGCAGGTTTCAAAAGTTGGAGAAGCACCCGACAATCAGCTCTGACCTGATGATGCCTAGAAGCAACGCTTGTTTTTATCATCGACGCCCACAACATGGGTCGTCGCTAAGGATGTGTTCCTTTTGTGTTTGGTTTTGTTGCATTGCTTGTCTTTGTTAGACTGTTCAGATGCAAATATAGTTATATGCTGTGGACCTGCAGTCATACGACCTGAAGTGCGCTTCCTTGAGGCACGGAGCACGTCAGTGAGTTGGACCTCCGGCCTGTGTCCACTTTTATCACGTCACTCTCCGAACTTCGTTAAACGGGCGCCGTATTCGATGCTGCAGGTGGTTGTATTGCTGGTGGGCACCAACAACTTCAACTTCTCGCCGGAGCAGATCGCCGACGGCGTCATGGCCAACGTGAACGTCATCCGGAAGCTGCAGCCGCAGGCCTTCGTCATCGTCATGGTAATGCAGCTGCGTTTTCTTTTCTTTGCCGTTGCCCATGAACAGGTAACCGGGAGCGCCCCTCGCTCTATCTCAGCTACACAACGAGCCGTACGTTAACACCAGAAAACATAAAATCAAGTCGTAGCACTCCTAGCTAAAAAGTAAAAGCAAAATTCAGAAGCACGCAAAGAGGTGGTTTAGATCCGGTACGATTTGTACCAGACAAGGACAAATCATACAGGTGGAGGGTTAAAGAAGATATAGCCAACTTCAGCCAATGACAACCCGCTAGGACCATCCAAATTAGCTACTAGCACTCAGTGTCAGTAAAGCCTATCAGTCACACAAGTCAGAGACAACTACCTGGCCATTTTCATGCGGGGTATTGAGCTGGATCTCCAGGGAGCCCACCCAGCTAAACGGAGCTTGTTGCCGAAATAACTCCCGGACCCCGCACCGTGAGTTCAGGTACCCAGTGTACGCACATGGATAAGTCAGAGCATGCTCATGGGATGTGGAAGAGGGTAAACATGGCGGGGGGGGGGGGGATTTACACGTCAGCAGGGCAAAAATCAATCGTTTCAATAGCTGCAGGTGTGTTGGTTGCATTAACATTTGTCGACAAAATGTTCCGCCTCTGCCACCATTTCGTCGCCGGCTACCTCTTGGTATGTTACTAGGTAGCATGTGACATTTGCTAGCCTGGTTGAGAATGGCTCACTCCGCGTTTTGAGCCGTTTATTTCCTCGGTGATACATATATATATATATATATATATATATATATATATATATATATATATATATATATGTATGTATATATATATATACATATACATATACATATATATATATATATATATATATCTGTGTGTGTGTGTGTGTGTGTGTGTGTGTGTGTGTGTGTGTGTGTGTGTGTGGTGTGTGTGTGTGTGTGTGGTGTGCGTGTGTGCGTGCGTGCGTGCGTGCGTGCGTGCGTGCGTGCGTGCGTGCGTGCGTGCGCGCGCGTGTTGTTCTGCCGACCGGCATGTAATCGCCGACCTCCGCCACAGGGCCTGCTACCTCGCGGCGAGAAGCCGAACCACCTGCGGGAGCGGAACGCGCAGACTAACGAGCTGCTGGCCGGGCGGCTGGCGTCGCTGGAGCGGACGCAGCTGCTGGCCGACTACAGCGAGCTGGTTTCGGCCGACGGGCAGATCGACCACCAGGACATGGCCGACTATCTGCATCTGACACCGGAGGTCAGTTCGCAGCCGGTCCCTGATGTGGGACGTCGGTGCAACGCTTGTGTGCCGTGTCGGAGGTAAGTACACCTGTAGCTCACTGTGAGGGTCAGCACATTTAGACAAGTGTCGCGGGTCAGGACACGGCCTGCGCCCATGCCAGAGGTCAGATGCGGTACGACCGTAGGCCTCACTGCGGGGGTCAGCGCACTGCATCGAACTTTGTCCCTGCAGCTGACGTGGGAGGTCAGTACAATGTATCTCACGTGGGAGGGGAGCGCACCATGTGCGCCGTCCCAGCCCCAATGACCGCAGTAACGGTTTACACCACGGGAGCGCCATTGTATAAAAGACAGAGATCTGCGGGTGTGTCGGCGGGTCTGGCAGCCGCGGGTCTGCCCGGCCCGTCTCCCCGCAGTTGGTCCTCGGCACCAGTCTGGCGCGCCAGAGACCACCTGAAAGGGAGGAGGGCAGGAGGAACTCGTAGCGTTGGGTGGCACCATGGCTTGCTGCGAGAGTGACGGACGCCATCTGATGCATTGGCGAGCTGCGATGTGTGGTAACGGGCCACAGCAGAGCGCTGCAGTTAACAGCTCTCTACTCTGCTTGACACATCAGTTGCACCCTTCTCACGCTCCAGTCAAGCAGGTGTATGGCTCTGTCGTTGTTTCTGCAAGTGATCCACCTGTCTGACTGCTGCTCTTGTTTGTCACAGGGCTACTCGAAGGTGTTCGAGCCCGTGTACGACCTGATTCTGCAAATTCTGAACGAGAAGGAATGCCTAGACGGCGCCACTGGCGAATAGGCCGCGCGACCGGCGCGTAGATGGCGCCACCGCTGCCCCGTGGCACGGCTCCCGACCCACCGCCGGCCAGTGGGCGGTTATGTCAGTATTACGTTCTGCTTCTGTGTGACCAGTACGCTCCTATCGACGCCGTTGGCCTCCGCTGCCCCGCTCCTCCGAGTGCAGCGGCAGCGAGGGGGCCAGGAGCTACTCAGGAGTCGCTTGGTTCGGTTGTCGGCACGTTTGGTTATGTACTGTGCGGGGTGGTGGCCAGGTTCATGCCACGGCCGCTCTTGTGTTTGGGGCTGCGGAGACGTCCGTTGGGCTCTGCAGGGCTGGTGGGAGGAGGAGGGGCACCGCGCGAAACCCATCGATTACCTGAGGGGCGAACGCCTTGGAGGACCGTTGGTCACATTCCTCTCGGTTGTTTTTGGCTAGACTTGTTTTGTGGGTGTGTGGTCGGGAAGGTGAACCATATGCACGCCGCTGGTTCCTGGAGTACTTTGTTTTGTTCGCTAGCTGTAAGTGTCATTGCAAACGACTTAGCCTAGTTTGTATTGCGTACGTCTAGAGGGTCACCAATCACCAAGGAGAGACGCCACTTTTCTGGTTGCGTGGTGGGGATGGTTGCTTCCACTTGTCACCAGAAGCGGTGCTGCAATGCTGGAACTGACAATACAAACGCACTGGGTTGGGCCGGTATGCAATTTGCATGGAGCATGGTACACCGTGTGATCCACATCTGTGATTTTTCGTGTGGAGGTGTGGAAACGATTGCCTTTCAGTGGATGTTTCACAAAAGCCTTGCGAACGCTGCCCTTTCGTACTCTACCCTTGGCTGACCCCTTTTCACCGTGTTAGGCTTGCTAACGCTGTCCTATTTTCGGAAGCAGCTCTTGGCTTGCTGGCCATGGAGGCCTCAGCGCCGTGGTCACAGTCTGGGGGAGTCAGCTGAGTTTGGAGGATGGTGTGTGCTTCCGGTGTCATTGATTTTGTTCGCTGTATGTGTCGCGAGAACTCAGAATAAAGGGCATGCTGTTTCCTTGGTGTAAATTTGTGACTGTCGGAGAGCGCGCGTGGGACTGACCTGTCGGCCATCACTACGGTTCTTACTCCTGTTAATGCTGCCAAAAAATATAGTGTAGTTTGCTGCGCCGCGTAAGCGACACTTATGGCGCGATGCCTTTCCTAGGGTACACGGGTGGTCACAATCGCTTGCCCAGCTCGGTGTTTTCCGTGCAAAGGCTGACTTCTTTGTGGTCAGTGTTTGCGATGTTGTTTATTCCGCACACGATTTACGGAAGAGGACTTGCTTATTGCGAGGGAGAAACTGCATTTCAAGCAAGACACGTGCTCTTCGTTTCACACAAACGCTGCCAGGCAGAACCCTGTAACGACCAGGCTCCATGCTCCATGCAATAGCTCTGGGAGACCGCAGTCGGCGTTCAGCACTTAACGAGCAGCATGGGCTTGAGCTGAGCACGAGTCATCCCATGATGCGTGTGATACGCCCCGGGATAAGCCTGCGATGTCACCCCAGACGCGACCTTTAACACGAAAGCCACGCGCGTCGTATTGCAAGTATCGCGCGCGCAGCACGTGCGCTGAGTTACGTCCCGGGTCTCGCCGTTCTGGGACGGCCGGCGCCGGGAGCTGGCGCTAATGGGATGAAGGCCGGCTCTGAAGATCCTTAACGGTACCTGTGCCTTCCGGCAGCTACACAGTCGCTCAGAGACTGAGCGACCGGACGTGAGGGATGACACGGAGCAGAAACTTCACTGCGGCTGAGCAATCGGACGACAGTTTCAGAGACCGTACGGGTGGCAAATAAAGCGTAAATAGTCACAGCAACAGAGCAACAGCTCAGCACAGTCAGCCTGAGTCCCAGAATCCTGGTCCGAACCCTATGTCATCAAAGAGTTCTGCTGCATCCGGCCTCCAGTATCGGGCTCCAGCCGTACGTCACCAGCAGTCATGGATCTGAACACAGCAGTGTCTGCCAGTATTGAACAGCTCAGTACACATAGGCGCCCGTCGACCGCGTAAAGCAGGTATAGTGTTATAAAGCGGACAATGTATCATATAAAGCAGGTACAATGGTGAGCAAATTGTACAATGCCGGGGAGAGGCGTGGCTCATGCAGCACGGCAGCGGCGGGCCCGGGCGACGCACCCATCAGCCGCGGACGTGCGCTGCGGTGTGGCCGGCGCGGCATTCACCTACGCCCTTTTTTTAGCAACGAATGTAACTTAGCATTACGTACACGCACTGAAGTGGGTTGCTTGTCAGCATGGATGAAGTGGAATACCGGTGTACTGACATTGCAGAATTAACAACGTAGCAATTTAGCTGTGAAAGTAACGGAACTGGTAAGTACTTATCGCCTAGCCCCACTGTGGTAGGTTTCTTCGTAGATTGCAGTGATATGCCTCAAGCATTCTCCACACGGCGTGATGAATAGCGTATGACGCTTGATTACTATTTGAGACGAGGTAAGCGTGCTGCACCCGTCATGACATAGGTACATACGTGTGGTCGGACGTCGGTCGATCTAGCCACCTTGCGGCGAGGATGGAAAGTTGCAAGAGGCTACGCTCCTGGATCATCCTTGTTCAAAGTTCATGGCATATCAGCAACGCGACATGAGTGGGTTCTGCAACGATAAGATGGCTATGCTTGCACTGCGCTCGCGTTGAGTTTGCTCTGCACCATTTCGTCCGCGCGCCATTTTGCACACCACCACATCGCAACGAACAAGGAAGACTTCGGAAAACTGGTCGACATCAACCCAAATGTCCATCAAGCCCTACAGACCTGAAAGATGGCTATAGATGATAGACCTTATCAGACCCTATAGATCTGATACATGACTATAGATGACAGACCCTATCGGACCCTATAGACCTGATGCATGACTATATACCTTATCAGACCCTATAGATCTGATACATAACAATAGAAGACATACCCCATCAGACCCTCTAGACGTGCTTTACAGCGCAATCGTGCACAATGGAGGCAGCCGGGGCCATCAGCAGCCGCACGTGCCGGCCGACGATGGATGTGCCTCAGCCGTGCCTCATGGGTACCCCTCCCCCTACTGAGGCCCGCCGTGGGTCATGCTCAGGCATGTTGCGGGAGGTCCACTGCGCACCAGCATCGTACGCCTCCGTACGGGTGAACTATACGGATGGTACGAATCACTTATCAGCGTTGAGTCTGTCTTCAATCTACTATTTGCTTGACGGGAGCAAGCAGACTTAGGAGACAGGTTCACCTCCAATGATGGCATACGCAGAGTGTCAGTCGTGAAGGACACGAGTGTGTCACCAGGGGTCACGGGTGCCCACGAGGGGTCACATGAGATGTAGCTCGTCCGGGCGGCGCGGCGCCGAGTCTCGGTCAGCCGGTCGACTGCTGGGCGAAAGTGGATGCGCACGGAAGGGACTAAATGGCCGACCAAATCCGTTGACAAACCATGCTCCGAGCGTGTGCCACCGATTGGCATGCAACCTTCACCATTCGATGTTGCTTAGTCGATAACCTGTCCTTTCCAGAACATGGTGTCATTGGGTTGGGTCAAAGGTCAACAAAAATGCAAAAAGCGGGAAAATGGGTTTGCAGACAGGCCATGCTCCGAGCCTACGGCACCGATCGGCATGCAGCCTTCACCAATCGATCCGCCATAAGCGAGAACCCATTTTATAATTTCGACTTCGTTCGATTTCGTTGGAGTTCGACCAGATTCGGACACACTCCGAGTGGTCTAGTCCTCCGGCAGTAGGTACACAGTCTGCGGCAGCGGTGGCTCATATCGGCGGGTGCCGCTCCCTATCACCAGAGCTCCGCAGCGACGAGCGCCGCTCCGCATCACTGGAGCCCTCAGCGGCGAGCGCCTTCCCCTATCACCAGAGCTCCGCAGCGACGGGCGCCGCTCCGCATCACCGGATCCCCCAGCGGCGAACGCCTTCCCCTATCACCGGGGCTCCGTAGTGGTGAACAGCGCTCCCTATCACTGGAGCCCTCAGCGGCGAGCGCCTTCCACTATCACCGGGGCTCCGCAGCGACGAGCGCCGCTCCCTATCACCGGGGCCCCACAGCAGCGGGCGGCGCTCCCTTTCACCGGGGCCCCACAGAGGCGGGCGGCACTCCCTATTACTGGGGCTCCGCAGTGGGGAGCCCCGTGCTGACATTCCGTCACCTGCGCTGCAGCGGAACCGCGCGTCATCGGTGGTCCGCTGTTTGCGCGCGCTATCAGCTGGCCGGCCGGACGCGCGATACGAGGCGCCGGGCCTCCGACATCGCGATACCGATTACCAGGCCGCTGACTCAGCGGCGTCGGCAGTGCGCCTCGGGCAGCGTTGCCGTCGCCGCCGTCGGAGACACGGGCCGCTCGTCGGCGATAGCTGAAGAGTAGCGGGACGACGCGTGAGAACGCACCGGCCGGGGAATCGGCCATCGCAGCGGGCGGAGACCTGCAGAGGTGAAGGACAGCGCGTGAGGTGAGCGTAAGCGAGGTGCAGTTGGCGGCGCCCCCGAGGAGAGTGTGAGGAGTTCAGGGGGCGTCTGTCTGTGTCCTCTGTGCTGTTACAGCGTTCTGTCCGTCAGGCGTTACGTCCAGTGCATCCCGGGAGGTGCAGCTGGGTTCGTATGTATGGTGTGCAAACAGGTCATGCAGGATGCCGTGAATGTTATAAATGACGTCACGGTGAAGTCCAGGGGAAGACAAAAGGCCGAAGTGGTCTATGTGGGAAAGGGGGCCGTCGGGCGGGCAGTGTGCCTCTTCCACTTATAAATCTTGTCATTCGTCTTTTGGCATCGCATTGCTGGGGATCACGCGCATAGGAGAACAGCTTCTGTTTCCCCAATGTATGTTTGTATGTAAGCCCGCGGTCATGACCATGCCCCCATGTCCCTTCAAAGCCTCATCGTTAGCAGAATCGCACGTACCGGACTTGTCTTGTTCTTTTCCATGGAACTGTCTGACGAGTGACATTGGGCACCGGTGGCGCAGTGGTTAACGCGCCCGCGTTAGCTACTGCGTGTGGAAACTGGAGGCAAGGGGCTTCATCCCCGCGGTGCCCGCCCCTCCTGCCAGGGTGAGAAGCAAGCGACGCCATATAACCTCAGCAGCTGTGCGCGTCGTAGTCACAATGTAAACAACAGCATGTGATGATCCCCTGTAGCATGTAAGCTGCTGTAGCATGTAAGCTCCAATATCCAGGTCGAAGTGGTCATATCAACGTCTCCAGTTATCTCAAAAAGTAAGCGTGAAACGGCAATGCAGAGGACAACATTAAAGCCCTTGAACACTATCAGTCGCTAACAGACATCAACACATCTGACCCGTGACCTGACCCGATCATGCTAGGTCAAAGGAGTAAAGTAGTTTTTGCATTGGCCCGTGCGGCTGTGTTAAGAACTAAACAAGCCACAACAATGCGGACGAAAAGCTTAGAAAGGTCCTCCGAAGTTTTAAGATAAGCGTCATTAAGATTTGTCCTATGATCTTCAAACGGTCAAATCTGGTAACAAAATTCGAAGCGCTCTGGGATGACCTCATCTTGCAAAACCACCGCAATTATTTGTATGTACTGCAGAGAGATACAAGTATCAAGCAAGGCCTGTAAAACCTATTTGGAGCACATTTCCTGCGATAATAAGCGTTATCTGTCGCTTGTAAGCAAAACGACACAGACAGGACTTCGAGTGAGAGGTCAAAGATCACGCACCCTACGGATCGGAAACTGAGACCTTCTCACAGCGTGTAAAGGTGCTTAAGCTCAGGTTTTAAAAAATCCGACATTGTGCTCGAAACCGCTCAGAACGTTATTTCGGAAAACCTCAGGGGGTTTGCCGCGCGGCACTCGTAAGGCACTCATTCGTAAGGGTTAGGCGCAACGTTCTGCTGATTGTTCGTGATGGAAGCTTTGGTCGACAAGCACCGCTTGTGACAGGCTTATGAGCACGAAGCGACGTTTGTTTTCATTTATGTTACAGACATTGCGCCCCGCCATGAAGACCTGCATCGCCCTGAGCGTCACCTGCCTGGCGCTGGTGCTGCCATCTACTGAAGCCGGCTTCTTCTTCGGCTCGACCGTGTGCTCACAGTGCAAGTGCACCGAAGCCGACCCGTACATCATCGACTGCACGGACCTGGACCTGGGGGAAACGTTCGGCACCAGCGACACCTGGCCTGCCAACAAGAGCGGAATTCAGCTGCAGTACGACCAGAACTCGCTGACCCAGGTGGTGGCGCTGCCGGCGCTCGATGTCGTGGACCTCTCGTTCCAGCACAATGACGTCACTAAAATCGCCGATGACGCGTTCCAAGCGCTGTCCCGTCTGCGCCGGCTGGACCTGAGTCATAACAAGTTGAGCCGTGACTCGCTGCAGGAGCACACGTTCCGCGGCCAGTACAGCGCCAACAGCTATCAGCCGTCGCCTCTGGAAGTCCTCGTTCTCAGCTACAATGGCGTGAGGAACCGGCGTGGTCCCGGGATGGCGTGTGGAGTCGGCGGGGTCTCGGGACCGCGATTGTGAGAACTCTTGCAGGGTCTGGAGACCCCGCAAGAGTTGTCATGGCTTGAGTAGCTGTAGGATTGGTGGATCTAAGCAAAGACCGTCCCGCAGGCAAATAATGCGACTTCCCGTTGTGTTCAACGAGCAAACAGTGCCTCTCTGACGAAAACCACTGGGCGCTTACATGTCCATGTTCAAAGTGTGTGTGCTCAAGATGATGATGTTTGAGTAAAAACTCACACTGTAAATAACTGCGTCCCATGTCCTATTTATCGGTTCATATGCATGCAAATAGGCTTGCACTGGCTTCTTATAAAGTGCTTATCAATATTCCACTTAACCAACGGAACACATTACTGCATATTTATAATCGATCAATGGGAAAGAAAATGCAAAGGTTAAAAGACAAGACTGCGTCTTGAATCTCTATTCAACATGCTACGCTATTGTTCTGTGGACATCCTCACATCCCCGCATCCGCACACTGCGGCCGCGTCACAACCGCGCCACCACTGCCGCAGATCCACTCGATCTACGAGGACGCTTTCTCACACCTGTCGAAGCTGCGAGAGCTCGACCTGTCGTACAACCCGCTCTCCGTTCTCGACCACCACACGGTGCTGGCGGTGACGGAGCTGGCACGGCTGCGCGTGCTGCGACTGGCCGGTACGGGGCTGCGCCAGCTGCCCACCGGCTTCCTGCACGCCCTCATCACGCTCCGTGAGCTGGACCTGGGCGATAACCAGCTGGCTGTGGTGCCGCCGGACCTGTACAACAGGTGGGCTGGAGGAGATGGCTCGGTGTGTGCGATGATGATGTTGGTGGGATATCAGTGGGAGGTATGTGAGATAGGCGTACCTGGGGATCTGCATCTCTTGTGCAAAGCTGATGTACACTTCCCATGAATATCATATGTTGTGTCACAACAGCTGTGATGCTGGGGTTACTCGCTTTTAACAACGCTTCGGTCGGGGTGGACGGGGGAAACGGATATGACAACTCGTGTGTTTGAGATCACATGAACGTTACGTCGATGGGCCTCCGCGTCATCCACAACAGTTAACAAGAAAAGCTGAATCATGTAGCCAAGGAATTCAATCGCCGTCGCGTAGTGTTAGAAGAGCGTTCTCAAAGAATGCCAAACCCTGCTCTCCCACACTTTCAAGTAATTCAATCGCCGTCGTGTAGTGTTAGAAGAGCGTTCTCAAAGAATGCCAAGCCCTGCTCTCCCACACTTTCAAGTCTGTCGCCCCTTCCAGTCACGCCATCACATCTCTGCGACTGAACGGCAATCCGATCAAGGCGGTCGACGAGAACTCCTTCAACGGCATGACCAAGCTGGAGATACTGAACCTCTCCTCCATGCCGAAACTAGGTGACCAAAGATACTGCAACATATTGCGTACATGCGAACGCTTCACCCAAGTCGACGAACCAAGAAAAGTCATGTCCAGACCACCATGCCATGCATACACAGATGTCTTGCCATTGACACAACTCGTTTCGGGCGTTGCCATAAGCGTTCGATGGCCATGCAGACCGTCTGCGCAGACTCCCAAACATGAGACCGTCCGCGGTCCTGTCACTCGCCGCTGACAGCTGGCCCACCTCCTCCGCAGAGTACATCGGAGCGGGGTCCTTCTCCACGCTGGTGGGGCTGCGTGTGCTGCGCTGCCGCGATAACCCCCGCCTCTGGAGCCTCAGCCCGCAGGTGTTCCGCGGCATGGACACGTCTCGCGGCATCTTCCCCCTGAAGGAGGTGAGACCAAGCCGCCGGAGGGGGCCATCCCGGCGGAGCTGAGCGGCAAAGGACGAGCGGCAGCAGATGTTGAAGAAATAATGATGCTGTAGTGAAGCAAAGCGTTTGCAGCCTACAGCCGCGGCAATGCTCTGCCCACTCCGCGCTGTGGCGTGTGTGCACATCAAATCAGCGCTTTTGATCTTGCTCTCTCTGTGCATTCCGACGCGGAATTCTGGGTTACAATCACAGAAGCCGTAACGGACGCAGCGCATGGGTATGTCTCAAGGTCAACCGGATGGTTCGTAGATGACTGAAGTGGCGATTTTTGATGTCATCATGATGCACCAGCATTAACACGCGCTCGGGTGGGGTCAAATTGACCCTCGCAGGTTTTCCAGAATGGTTTCCAAACAGCGCGGTGTAGCCGCGGCCAATTTTGCATAGCTGTAAAAAATTGAATAGCGGATAGTCTGACATAAAACAAATGTAGATGCACCTTGCACGGTCACTGGCCTATGCCAAGTCAAAGTCAGGCCATGGTTTCAGCGAAGGCGATTTCTAGGGAATCGTTCAACCTGATGCAACAACGAAGTGTTAGACGAAGGCATACATTTTTGAGATGCTTTCTTGGGCAACGCAACAATTGAATGAACAAATTACATTGACCTATGGTCAGGTATAAAGGTCAGACCAAGGTCAAAACCAACCTGTTTTTTACTACAGCACTTGCTGAATGGGATAGTTATGACGCTGATTTCGAATTTATTGGTACTAGGAACCGCAATATACACCTTCCATAGACTTCTTAAATGTCAGAACAGGCACTGACCTAGAATGACCCAAGTCAACATTTTAGTTTTAGGCGCATACCGCACAGTGTAATTTTTGTCGCTTAACCAAATGCAAAACTCAAAGCGGTCTTGTATGATTTGGGTCACCATGACATTTAAAAGGTCAAAAAAGACCACTGACCATAGATGATCAAGGGACTTTTTGCTAGGGAAAGTTGTCTAGGTTCTAGGGACCCTTTGGAGGCCAACATGGGATTGAACATTTTTGAAGCTATTTGATCCGAAGGTCCTGACCTGGGAACCTCAAACTTTGACTTAAGTGAGTTCACAGACAGGTCAACACACCCTGTGAATTTAGTGTCCTTGCTTTCTTAGTTCCTGAGATCTCGGGGGGGGGAATTGACCCCCCCCCCCTCCTCCACCCAAGCGAAGGATATCCAACCGGCCCCCTGGCCGCGTGTTAAGCAAGCAAGTATAACACGAGACTTAGTAAAACCTGATACCCTTCTATGTACAGGACCGATGCGTCAAATTCACCGACAAACGGCTATGAAGCATCAGTTAACACTGACTGGTTTCCGTCCGCACCCTGGGACGCAAATGCACCACCCTCTAAAGGCCGCTGCCCTGTGAGTCTGCTTGCCACGCTCCTGGTGTGGGTACGTGCTCTGCTCCCGTCGCACCTTGACTCCGCCCCGTCCAGCAGACCGATACGCGTCCGCCACGCCGTCCTCATCACGGCCTCCCTCTCCACAGTTGCTCTTGAGCGGCAACAACCTGACCACGCTGGACGAGCGCACGGTGCCCTTCTGGGACCAGCTGGTGATGCTGCGGCTGGAGGACAACCCGTGGCACTGCGACTGCCTCATCAAGTGGATGACCACCAACCTCATGCAGCACTTGGAGACCGTCGACGAGCATGCGGCCAGCCGAGTCACGTGAGTGCTGCAGCAGACGACTGGCCTAGTCACGTGAGTGCTGCAGCAGGCCCCGCCAGCGCGTGAACACAGCGGAGAGGACCACCTGCTCCTCATGGACACCGCATCCTTCACACCCACGGTTAAGCAAAGCGTATACAGGATGGTTTTCGGGCCGCACGGCTAGGCTGGCGGTCTGCAAACATGAGCATTTGGATATGATATGTGCTTATATCATGTTTTCAACAGATGACATCTGCCTTGGCTCTTAATCACATTAACGTGGCGAGCAATGTTAAACGGAACCGGAGAGCGACAAGTCTGGCTGTGGAACTGCTAAACTGGCGAGTGCATTGACCTCCGGAAATTTGGGCACAGAACCGCACTAACCCTCCACAGGTGCCAGCCATCCCTGGCTAGTACCAGATTCCACCCGACCTCCAGGTGCCAGTCACCCCTAGCCAGCGCAAGGTCCCACCTGACCCCCTGGTGCTAGTCCCCCCTGACCAGCACCAGGGTCCATCTGACCCACAGGTGCTAGTCACCCTGGGCCAGCACAAGGTCCCACCTGACCTCCAAATGCCCGTCACTCCTGGCCAGCACCAGGCCCCACGTGACCCGACCACATCCCCCGTCAGGTGCCAGTCGCCGCCGGACCTGGCCGGAGAGGCGCTGGAGCGCCTGGCAGACACGCCGGACGTGTTCATCTGCCCGCCGGAGGCGCCGTTGCTGAACCGACGCGGCGGCTCTAACTCCACCTTGGCCGCGGCCCTCTCCGTCGGCGCGCTGGTCATTTTCATCGCCGCTGGCGTGGTCGGCTTCCTCTTCTGGCGGCGCGACAAGATCCGCCGCGCTTACAGGTGGGCGTGAGCGGCGCTGGTCGGCGGCCGCGTGGCTTCCCCGCCTGTGAGCTGCCTGCATGCTCCGTGACGTGACGCGTGTGGCTCCGTGACGTGACGCGTCGCAGCGGTTGCGAGTGACGGGCGTCGCTGGGCCGAGAGGAGAGACAGCATGACGTTATGGCAGACTGAGCCACGGTCTGCGAGGGGGGATACACGCGCCAATCAGAGCTCCATGGCGGCCTTGGCGGCAGGGGAAGCTCCTTTGGGCTAGCTGGAACAGCGTGTTGTTGCGCGGCCCTTCCCTAGAGACAATTGGGAGGTGAAGCTGATTCTGGGCATTGTACTTAGTGTGCATTCAAACTTAAAAGGGTGTTAAAAGGGTGTAAATCTTCTGGCGTGCATGATACAAAAGTAGCGTATCTTTATCATGTTGACGTCACAAAACTACACAAGTTGACTGCACTGGCAGTGTTATGGATTCTGAACATCACAATGCAATGTAATACAGCAACCAAAATTTCACGTCACATTTGAATCCGTCTCGGGAAGATGCATGCCATTTCTCTCCACATGGCCAAGGCTACAAATACGTCCCCCCAGTCGTGACCAAGGCGCCACGCAACCGCATGCTTGCGGCGCCAACGTGTTCCCATGCTTACGCGTCCCCCACCAGCGCCGCACACGCGGCCCTGGTGTGACCAGCCCGGCCGCTCGCGGCGCCCTCACCACGCTCCCCGCCTGTCTGCTTCAGCAACAAGCTGTATATGACGTCACAGCTGGGGGCGGTGGTGGTGCTCATTGTCTGCGTCTTCTTCTTCTGGTTCATCGTGGGTGCGGACCGCACGGGCGTGATATCGCCCTCCGACCCCATCCTGCTGCGGCTGGTCGGCAGCTTCTTCCTCTTCCTGCTTATTTCCGCCGGCGCCGCCCTCTACGCCATCCGGCGTCAGACTGAGTCGGCCAAATACAGGTACCTGCTCGCGGCGACAGCGCTCTCGGCATGCTCAGTGTAATTTTACCGCATAGTTATCGTGAAAGAAATACGTCACGTCAAAGCTGCCATTGGGCCAATTGGTCATGTTCTGCGTGACCGGAGGGTCCAGATGCGCATAAGGAGGATGTTGCCGGGTTTCTTTGTTCCTCTTGCTCGCATTCGCTTGCCAGAGGAACACCATTAATTGTAAGTTTCAAGTCTGCAAAGCCGACTTGACCCTGCGAGAGCACTTCTGCTCTCAAACTTCATAGTGCCCTGTATTTGTTTGCCCATGCACTCGTTCCAAAACCTCCCCGCTGTTATTTTTGCTTTCTGGTGGGTCCTAGGTTCACAACCATGACTTTTATTAGTACCCTGCCTGCTTTGTAAGGTAATTGGTGTTCCCTGCATCCTATCTCATGTCGTTTACATGCGCTCATCCGGTTCGAGATGCGCTCGCTCAAAACTTGTTTCCATGGCCTGGGCACTGCACGGTCTTCCCTTCCGTCGACTTGGGCCACCCTGTCAGCGGAGTCAACGACCCAGTGCTGTCTGCCTTATTTCACCATAATTTGTGCACGCATTTGTGCAGCGTCCTCTGCTTCGGTGACCTGTATTTGTCGGCCGTCTATTTGAACCATTTTCCCTACACATGTGGAAGATAAGGCGGCATTTTCTCCATCATCGCAAATGCGGATCTTTACATCTCTGGACCATGAGGCATATTTTGACAAGAGCATGAGACTCCCAATACCTGCTTGCATGAAGTTCCTATGTCTCCAGCAGGCTGATGACTTTTCTCAGCTACGCAAACGTCTTCTCACTTTCTTTGGATTATGTGGGGCCGTCTCTAAGCACCGCCTAGCGCTGTTCATTTCCTCTACATAGTCTCGTACTCACATCGCACATTCGCCACACTGTACGCGGACCTCCGCTTTGCTGTGGCGTTGGTCGCGCGTCTGCTTCCTCGCAATGAGTCAGGATCAGCTGCTCGCTCTGCCCATCAGCCTCGTCAGTACGTTCCGCCTGCTGCGTCCAGGTGCTCCACAAAATCCTGCACGATACCCTTTTTCGTTCCTATTTCTCATTCACTCACCTCTCGTTGCACAAGGCACCGCATCTTCCTTTCCACCGCTCTTGCCACCTCCACGCGTGCCGTTCGGTTCGACACCCTTTTTCGTTCCTATTTCTCATTCACTTCCCTCGCATTGCACAACACACCGCATCTTTCTTTCCACCGCTCCTGCCACCTCCACGCGTGCCGTTCGGTACTCTGCTACGCCTGCTGTAACGCCACGCTCTCCGCCTTCTCTCCGCCAGGGCGAGACAGCAAATCCGCTACCGGCGCGCCGTCATGGAGGAGGAGGTGGACGTCGACGACAGGCCCACCGTTGACGCGTAGGGGCGCCCGACAGCACGCGACTCGTCTTCACGGTCGGCGCCGCCTGGTGTCAAGACTGATCACTACGTGGTGTGACGTCCCCAATAGATGACGTGACGTCACCCAGCGGGCATGTGACGTCACTGGATGCACCGGTTGGTCTCGCAAGGCACAATCCAGTGGTTGAGCAGCTCAGATTCCCGTCAAAAACAGACACGACGTATGTTGTTGACTCCGAGCTAGCTCACGCGAGGCAGCCTGTGCAGTAGACTTGTCGACAAGACATCGACGAACGGGGTGTTTCAAGCGCCTGACTAAGCGTTTGAAAATATGTTATGATTGTTCTAGTCTGCCGGTCTGCTGAGCTGATGTCCAAACTTCAGCCAGGTCGACTTCATAATTAAACCACGCACACGCGTGCGTAATCAACACACGCAAACGGTGTCCGCTCGCCTGGGGCCTGTGCCAAATAGAACCATCACCAGATGCGTTTACGAGTTATTTGCAAGTGTTTCAGTTTACTGGTCCACAGGAGCGATGTACCAACTATACGTGGGTCGAGCTGATGATCGACAAATCACGCATGTGATGAGTTTTGCAGACGACCCGAGACAAATTAATCCACACCCGACACAGGGACGTAGTTTCGCGAAGCACGCTGACGGGGGTGAATTGTGAAAATGTGTCAACACCTCAAAAATACCCTAAAACGAAATTCTCACCAGATTTTGCACACTTCCTTTTCAAAGTTGGGAGAAGCCCTCTGAAATGAGTACGAAACTACACCGCTGCCCTTTTCCGGTCCTGGCCACACTACAAGTAAGCACTTGATTGGAACAGCTGGCTGACCGGGATTTGTTTCCCTCATCGCATGCCATCCACAGCAGCCGATCCACGCGCATGCGATCATCGCCCTCCAATGCGGCGCGGTTTTCCGAGAAGCCTCGCCGAGCGGAGACGAAGCAGCGACTGCTGTGGACTCGTTGAGAATCCGAGTGCATTGTCGCCGTCAGCGCAGTTTGTCGCAAGGACTGGTTGTCATCAGCTTCACCTGGATCGTTCGCTGTGAGACACCAAGTGCACCAAGCGACGCGCGAGCGGTCAGTGGCGCTGTCCCGCTGTCATCCGCGGTATGCAACGCCGCGCCTTCCGGTAACGCTGGCGTTCGTCGACGTGCCGCTTTTGCGCACGCGCGCCAGCACCGAGCACCGGCGTCCACGGCAGCAGCTCGAATGATTCGACGTGATTGCTTTTTCACACATGTTTATGTGCTCATGCAACATACATCTCAACAATATGCATGCTTTGTGGGATACATTTCGGAAGTCGCCGGCCGATAAATCAGACTGAGTTCGGGGATCAGCTCCACCAGACTGAAGCAACTGGCGGATGAGAAGCTTGGCCAGTGCCTGAGGGACCCCTGCACATCGGAAGACCAGTTGCACCCCCCCCCCCCCAAAAAAAAACACGAATACCAGTGGACGTGCACTCACGCCAGGTCCAAGGTCGAGCAGTCTGCCTGCGAGGAACGACACACCTCACCAGAGAACACCGCCGGAAACCAATGCTGCCGCGCGACAGGACCAAAAGATGTATTATGTACATAAGTTACGCGTGATCAAACAGTTCAGCACACAGAGCACCCGGTTCGCATCCCCGCACTCAGCGCGTCGAACGCCGCCGCGACACGCGCGCGCTGCAAGCCTTGACTCTCGGTCCGGTGCGCTGCTGGCGGCGACGCAGGGTCCCCGCCGACCTCTAGATCAAGTCGGCCACTGAAAGCGACCAGAGGGACTTCAGGGACGGCGAGATGAGCGCGCTGGGCGGAAACACATCACAAACGGTTATGGTGACGTACGCATGGGCTTACGGGTGACCTTGTTCGCTGTCACAATCGCCTCGTTTGATGAGGATGATGCAAAGGAACGTTTTGGCGGAGGTGTGCTGGTCCGATGTTGTCCCATAACCATAACCGTGGTCCCTGAATCTCAAATTAAATCAACAACATATCCAAAACTCACACGTAAACTTAAATCATCTCTTAAATTTACCAGCGGCCTCTAAGGGTAACCTCTGGACCAGCCCCCTGCTCCTCAGCCCCGGCACCTGTGCGGCACGGTCGGTCGCCGCGCCTCCCACCCCTCGGTTTCTCACCGTTCATGGGCATCTCGTCGATCTGCGTCGAGTAATACTGCTCGATGTCGCGCAGGATGCGAATGTCGTCCGCCTTGACGAAGTTGATGGCCACACCCTTGCGGCCGAAGCGTCCCGAGCGGCCGATCCGGTGGATGTAAAGCTCGCGGTTGTTGGGCAGGTCGTAGTTGATGACGAGCGACACCTGCTGCACGTCGATGCCGCGCGCCCAGACGTCCGTGGTGATCAGCACTCGGCTGTGACCTGGGGTCAGGAAGAAGGTCAGGCACCGGCCGTGACCTGGTGTCTGCTGGCCGGGTCAGCTCCTATCAATGACCTGTGACCTGGGGTCAGAGGGGCAGGTCAGCTCCCAGCTATGACCTGTGACCCGAGGTCAGGGCTCAGGTCAGTGGTCAGGTGTGAACTGATGTCACAGGGACAGGTCGCCGCGCGGGCGGCCCGATCGACAGTGGAGGCTGCATTACGAAGGATGCACGCTGGAGGCGTCATATTTTTTTTAACATGCTACCGGCGGCCGACCCAATGTCCACGATGACGGCAGTGAGAGGTTGTCTCGGCCCTTAGTGCCGACGCTCTGCGAGCACCAGATATGTTTGTAACGATCGCGTTGAAGGACAGTGCCAGCTAAAGAATGTCAGTGTTAAACAGTTGTCAATATTGTTTTACTAGTCGCGATAATCATTGCCCTTTCACGGCTATAATGCGAGCCCAGCTCCTCTGATCCAGCATCCGAATCCCGAACACCACGGACCGCCACATCCACTTCACGGCCACACACTATTCTACAGTTCTGGATTCCATGCCAACTTTAAGTGGCCCCAGTGTTAAAACGGAAATGAATGCAACAACAACCCTGAAAAGAAATAGTTTGAAACATGCTTTGTACACGGTTTCTATGACCCAGACCACTCGGGGTTCTGCCGCTGACTATGACATCATTTCCCCGCATCCCTCACGTGACCCACACCGGCCTCTACGCCGGACACCTGCCGAGGACCCCGAGCCGCGGCGGACGCCACCGCGTCGGCCGTCGTCCCGGCGGGCACCGCTGGAGCGCCCCTGAGCGCTAGCGGCGCGGCCGGTCGTCACGTACCTGCCCGGAACTCCTTCATGATGGCCTCGCGCTCCTTCTGCGGCATGTCGCCGTGCATGGAGGTGACGGTGAAGTTGGCCTCCCGCATCTTCTCCGTCAGCCAGTCCACCTGCCCGCCGGCCGACAGGGGTGTCACCACAAAACCCCCTCGGAGGTGATGCGTACTCACTCGCCACACCGGCTCGATATCGCCGACGGGGCTGCTGCCCGCCTACGCTGTACTTCATACGCATAAACAGCTGAAGGCCTCGAGACGGGAAGAGACAAAAACAAAGACAAAAAAGAAGACAAAGAGAGACAAATATCTGCAGTCGTTTTCTGGGGTGCTTCCACCGTACCCTGACATTATCTTTTGTCGCTGGCCCCATATCTCTGCGCACCCAGATCGTGAAATGAGTTAAACATCCAGGGCCGTCGTGAAATGAGTTAAAACGCCAGAGTCACAACATGAGCTAAAACGCCCAGGGTCGTCGCGAAATCGAAATCGGTAGACACATCGTTGGCTCCGATAGCCCAGCCAAGATGGTGACGATGCAGTGCCCAGACTTCTCCGTAAAAGGAGTGAATAGCAACGTTATCACAACCAGCTTAACACCAACACGCAGTTGATACCCACACTCTGCACAGACGGTTAGTATGCAGCGTAAACCTTTCATGGCAACTTTTCCAGCACAGAACAGTTGTTTGGATAAGGCAGGCGGATCAGTTTGCGACAAGCGCACTGACGTTAGCACGCAGCTTGCGCCCAGACACACGCATGCTCCCCAAAAAGAACAGAGGCGAGGTAACGTTCCACGGCCCGCTAGACCTGGTCCCATACCTTCCGCTTCGTGTTGCAGAAGATGACGGCCTGGGTGATGGTCAGTGTGTCGTACAGGTCGCAGAGGGTGTCGAACTTCCACTCCTCGCGCTCGACGGCCACGAAGAACTGCTTGATGCCCTCCAGCGTCAACTCGTCACGCTTCACCAGGATCCGGATGGGGTCCGTCATGAACTTGCTGGTCATCTCCAGGATCTCATGCGGCAGCGTGGCCGACAGCAGCACCACCTGTCGGCCCCAACATGAACTCAAGTTAGGACAGGCGTAACTTAGAAACTGAAAGAAACCGCGGATGGCCGGGAAATGTAAAGCTCACCATCGGACCGGGATAGCCCCGGGGTATCACAAACAATCATCATTTTTGGATGAGTTTTGAATTGATGACTGCTATGAGCCCGTAATGGTATTACAAAAAGTCAATACGCGCCGTACTATCGGCATCGCTGATGTTTGGAATAAAAGAATAACAAACCCGAAGTAGGCGCACGTAATATGTTCGGAAATGAGTGGACGCGCCACGCAAACCCCATGCCATTACGTTAATGAGTGGACGCGCCACGCAAACCCCATGCCATTACGTTAATGAGTGGACGCGCCACGCAAACCCCTTGCAATTACGCTAATCATTTGAGCCGATACGAGACTACACAGGCCAGTGAACTCCTAGGCGGACTACACATTCACCAAAATGCCGCGCACATTTCACTGAAACACAGGAACTAACACAAATAACAAAGCCGAAAGCAGTTTCCTGCACGTCTGAAAGACGCGTTAAAATTGATAGAAGTACCGACTCACATCTTCCCAACAATACACAAGCGGCCAGGCCTTTTCTCCGACACCTTCCGACGTCAAGAGAGAACAGAAGGGCACAGCGGCTGGCCGACCTGACCTGGGTGGCCGGAGGCAGGTAACGGTACACGTCGTAGATCTGCTCCTTGAAGCCCTTGTTCAGCATCTCGTCCGACTCGTCCAGCACGAGCATCTTGATGGCGCGGGTGCGTAGCGTCCGGCGACGAATCATATCTGCCGGCAGCAGGTCAGGTCAGGTCAGGTCAGGTCAGGTCAGGTCAGGTCGGGTCGAGTTAGGTCAGGTCAGGACAGGACAGAGCAGGTCAGAACAGGTCAGGTTAGGTCATGGTGGCCAACATCACAGCAGCATTGATCCCAGCAGGCAGCTTAAGGCGCACACGTTGTGTGAGCCATGATAAATGATGAGTCATCAGGGAAAATGACGTGGTTCGTCCGGATGCTTTTCGGTTCATTCCACGTACCCGCTGAACTGCGCTTGCTCGGTGCACCTTTACGCCACCAACGCCGTCGTCAGCACAACTCCTGGCAGAGCGTGCACTTCGTACCCACTCTATTGACCGAACAACACAGACTGGATGACGATGCAATTGCTGTTTTTCTGACCCGTGCGACGGCACCAAAACCTGTCCTCAGTCAAGCCAAAACACATCAGGTGAAGCGAAACATGTCAAAGTTAAGCCGATTTTGTGCCTTACTGGGCTCAATGCAACACACCAGACATGGAAATGAATCCCGCTTCGGCTTCGTGCGTTTCGGCTTCGGCTGATAGATGAGAGCTACAACATGCATTTGAAGGGGACTGACTGCTGCGGTGTTCACCTGCCTGTCGCTAGCGTAGGTCGCGTTCAAAAGGACAATGAGCCTAGCAAAACACAGCCGTTTGCACTACTGCAATAATAAAACCTAATCAAACTTACCTTACAGCACGTTTTCTAACACAGCATACGCGCAAGCCGACCTCTGCGCGTGTCAACGAACAACAGCGACACCCCGCCCGACCCAGACCGGTCCCAGGCAGCACCAACACCCGCCTATCCCTCTGAAACAGCGGGCTGAAGGGACGTCAGACCCGCTCCTCGCTCACCGAACACGCGGCCGGGCGTGCCCGAGACGATGTGCTGGCCGTAGTCGAGCTTGCGGATGTCCTCGCCCAGGCTGGTGCCACCGATGCAGGCGTGGCACTGCACGTTCATGTAGTCGCCCAGCGCCAGGATCACCTGCAGCGGGCGCGGACACTGATCAGCCGGCGGGTCACGGAGGCCGCTGGGCGCCCACGAGGGTCAGCACACTCTGGCTGCAGGTGATCCTGCAGCAGGCGGAAGTGGGTCACGGGAGAGTGCTGGCCGCTCACGAGGGGCG